TAAATACAGGAAGCAGACCACATCGCTAAAGTAGCTACTCAGCTGTTCCAATACATTCCCCCATGGAGTTAAGTATCAATCTTACCATGGGGAATAACTACATCCAGATGCCCAACCACTCAACCAGGCCAACCAAGGTGACACACAAACTTAACAACCACATCAACCCAGTCGAATAATTATTTTTTTATTTATCAGGAGCCACCTATTACATAACAATGTACTCTGAATTAATAAATAATAACAAAACAGCTTTTATGAACTCACACTACCATACCATATCAACTATAAGATACACCCTGGAATTAGAAACATTAAAAAGTAAAAAAGAAGAGCACATAATTGAGAAAATGTGGTATAACACAGTGGTCAATAGTAAGCTTGTACCCCTAGACCCACTACTTACTTGACCTTGGGCAAGTCACAACCTTCTGAGTCTGTTTCCTAATCATTAAATGAGAATGCTAATAGGAGTATTAACCTCAAGGTGGTGGTGATAAAATTAAAAGAAATAATTAATTTAAAGGATTTGGAACTAACCATCGTATAGCAAACTTTCAATAAATGTTCAATACTATACTTTTTTTTATTATTATTATTTAAGGCCAGGCCCCGGATAGGCAGACACATGGCTCGGGACTGAGGAGAATGGTTAGGAACAATTAAGGGAGACAAACTGGTCTGTCCATTTGTCCTCCTATGGTGGCCTGCATATTGCTGTGAGGCTGGAGGCTATGCCACTGGTGTTGTAAAATGCCAGCAGAGTTACCCAGGGTAGACAGGTTTCAGCGGAGCTTCCAGACTAAGACAGACTCAGAAGAAAGAAGTCCTCTACTTGTCAAGCAAATGGCCAGTGAAAACCTTATAAATACCAGTGAGACACTGCCTGATATATTACTGGAAAACTTTATGAATAGCCCTGAAACACTGTCCGACATAGTCCCGGAAGATAAGCCCACCAAGTCGAAAGGTACTAAAAATATGACTGTGGAAGAGCTGACTCCTCAGAGGAGAGATGACCTTAATGATATAGATGGAGTAAAGCTTTCAAAACCTCCACTGGATAATATGGCAAGAGTCAAAATGAGTATAAATGGCTGCAAACATCCACTAATAATCAGAACATGGAATGTAAGAAGTATGAATCTAGTAAAACTGAAAGTTATCAAAAATAAAATGGAACACATAAAGATCAATATCCTAGGGATTAGTGAGCTGAAATGGACGGGTTTGAGCCATTCTGAATCAGACAACCATATGTTCCACTATGCCGGGAATGGCAACTTGAAGAGGAATGGTCACATTCATTATCACAAAGAGTGTTGCAAGTTCTGCCCTAACGTACAATGCTGTCAATGACTGAATAATATCCATACGCCTGTAAAGAAGACCAGTTAACAATACTATTATTCAACTCGACACACCAACCACCAAAGCCAAAGATGAGGAAACTGACGATTTGTACCAACTTCTGCAGTCTGAAATTGACAAACATGCAATCAAGATATGTTCATTATCACTGGTGACTGGAATGCAAAAGTTGGGAACAAAGAAGAATCACAGGTGTTTGGAAAATACAGCCTTGGTGATAGAAATGATGCAGGAGATCGAATGACAGCATTTTGCAAGACCAACACCTTATTCACTGAAAATACCTTTTTTTAAGAACATAAACAATGGCTATACACATGTATTTTGCCTGATAAACTACACAGGAATCAGATAGACTACATCTGTGGAAAGAGGCGATGGAAAAGTTCAATACCTTCAGCCAAAACAAGGCCAGGAGCTGATTGTGGAACAGACCATCAACTGCTCACATGCAAGTTCAAATTGAAGCTGAGCACAATCAAAACAAGTCCACAAGAGCCAAAATATGACCTTGATAATATCCCTCCTGAATTTAGAGACCATCTAAAGAACAGATTTGATGCACTGAACACCAGTGACTGAAAACCAGAGGAATTGTGGAATGACATCAAGAACATTATCCATGAAGAAAGCAAGAGGTCATTAAAAAGATGAGAAAGGAAGAAAAAACCGAAACAGATGTCAGAAGAGACTCTGAAACTTGCCCTTGAGTAGAGAGTAGCTAAAGCAAATGGAAGAAATGACAAGATAAAGGAACTGAACAGGAGATTTCAAAGAGCAGATTGAGAAGACAAAGCCAATTATTATAATGAAATGTGCAAAGACCTGGAGTTAGAAAACCAAAAGGCAAGAACATGCTCAGCATTTCTCAAGCTGAAAGAACTTAAGAAAAAATTCAAGCCTCAAGTTGTAATACTGAAAGATTCTATGGGCAAAATATTGAATGATGCAGAAAACATCAAAAGATGATGGAAGGAATACATAGAGTCACTGTACCAAAAAGAATTACAGGAGGTGGCATATGATCAAGAACCAATGGTACTGAAGGAAGAAGTCCAGGCTGCACTGAAAGAACTGGCAAAGAACAAGGCTCCAGGAATTGACGGAATACCCACTGAAATGTTTCAACAAATGGAGGCACTCACTTAGCTATGCCAAAAGATTTGTAAGACAGCTACCTGGCCAACTCACTGGAAGGGATCCATTATTTGTAGCCATTCCAAAGAAAGGTAATTCCACAGAATATGGAAATTATCTAACAACATCATTAATATCACATGCAAATACTATCTTACTGAAGATAATTAAAAAATGGTTGCAGCAGTATATTGACAGAGAGCTTCCAGAAATATAAGCTGGATCCAGAACAGGATGTGTAACGAAGATAATATTGCTGATGTCAGATGAATCTTGGCTGAAAGCAAAAAATACCAGAAAGATGTTTACTTGTGCTTTATTGACTATGCAAAAGCATTTGATTGTATGGATCATAACAAATTATGGGTAACATTGACAACAATGGGAATTCTAGAACATTTGATTGTACTCATGAGGAACCTGTACATAGTTCAGGAGGCTGTCATTTAAACAGAAAAAGGGGACACTGCATGGTTTAAAATCAGGAAGGGTGTATGTCAGGGTTGTATCCTTTCACCACACTTATTCAATCTGTATACTGAGCAAATAATCTGAGAAGTTGGACTACATGAAAAAGAGCGTGGCATCAGGATTGGAGGAAGACGCACTAACAACATGCAACAGACAGACAACACAACTTCACTTGCTGAAAGTGAGGATGATTTGAAGCACTTACTGATGAAGATTAAAGACCACAATCTACAATATGGGTTACACTTCAATATAAAGAAAGCAAAAATCCTCAAAACTGGTTCAATAAATAGCTTCACGACGGAGAGAGAAAAGACTGAAGCTGTTAAGGACTTCGCATTTTTTGGTTCTACAATCAACACCAATGGAAGCAGCAGTGAACACGTCAGACAACGTGTTGCACTGGGCAAATCTGAAAGACCTCTTTCAAGTGGCGAAGAGCAAAGAAGTCTCCTTGAAGACTAAGGTGCACCTAACCCAAGTCATGGTATTTTCAATTGCCTCTTACACATGTGAGAGCTGGACAATGAACAAGGAAGATTGAGAAAGAGTTGATGACTTTGAGTTTTGATGTTGGAGAAGAATGCTAAGAGTATCATGGACTGCTAAAAAGACTAACAGGTCTATCCTGGAAGAAGTGCAGCTGGAATGCTCCTTGGAAATGAGAATGGCCAGACTTCATCTCACCTACTTTGGTCATGTTGTCAGGAGGAACCATTCCCTGAAGAAGAATATCATGCTCAGTAAAGTGGAGGGTCAACGAAAAAGGGGAAGGCTGTCAACAACATGGATTCATACAGTAGCTGCAACAACGGGTTCAGGTAAAGCAAGGATCGTGAGGCTGGCACAGGACTGGACAGTGTTCCATTCTCCTATGCATGGGGTCGCTATCTGCTGTAGAATACTCAATGGTACTTAACAAAACAATAAAGCTTTTTAAAGCAAATGCTGTAACAGAAGTAAACAGAGTTCTTGGTGAAAGAACTTAGGCTGATGAAGAGAGGGAAAGTTTCCTAAAAGATAATTAAGATGAGTCTTAAAGGCTAAAAAGGAGCTGGCCAAATGAAAAAGCACAGGATAAAAATGGCATATCCTCTTGGAGCTTCCACTGTAGTCATATATGTAATTTAAAATATTTTTATATTAAAAACATTAAAACAAAAAATATGGGAACAGTTACAAGAGAAACGCAAGAAAAAGTAATTTTTCAGATTAAATTCTGAGGTTTAGATTCTGGCTTTATCTCAAAGTAGGTGGCTTCTGGTTGCCCCATAAATGGGAAAGGGAGAATCTTTGCACAAGACTGTCCTATAAGTGGAAATGGCTGGTAACAGCTTTGAAGTACTACCTATAAAGCACTGTTTTAAATGACAAGGACACCAATTAAACACAAAGGTAAACCATTTGCGTAGCAGGGGAACATTCAAAGTCCCTAAAAATGATCCACTTAGAAACAGAGCAACTAGAAAAGAAATAATGAAAATGTTCACATATTGTGAAGAATGTAACCAATGTCATTGCACAACTTGTGTAGGAACTACTGAATGAGAATTTAACTACTCTGTAAACCTACACCAGAAACACAATAAAATATTATTAACAAAAAAAAAAAGGAGACCCACTTAGGCAGTGGTCTTCGGTAAAAATCTGAGTACACTTAAAAGAAAGCCAAAATACTGTGGAAATGGTATGGTGGGAATATGCAGTAATAATATCCTCTTGGCAATCAAAAAACATCCAATTGTATCTATGTTACATTTTACGTCATTACTTGTAAAATGCTGTAGAGTTGATTCTGATGCATCATGACCCTATGTGCACAGAATAGAACCTGTATTCCAGGCTGCTACCTATTGGAAACAGATTGCCAAAAACAACAAGTTCTGTTTTTCGAGCCTACAATTTTTGGCTAACAGTAGAGTGCTTAACCATTTGCATCACCCAGAGATTATTGTCATAATTTATAGGCATCAGAAAAGATCTCCCAAAAGAAACTGAGTCAAGGAGAGAAACAGACTCACCAGAGTGGAACTGCATGAGATACACTGATGACAAATGCCTCGCCTGTCTGTCCAGAAAGAGTCCGCCCGCTTTTATCAACAATTGTTCCTGAAATCTAAATTAACAAAGTAAAGTGTGTCAACAATATAAAGTCCAGTTAAAAATACAATTATACAAGGTTGTAGTCACTTCATGGCCCCAGCCAGCTACCCAGAGGGATCATGGGCTCGGGACCATGGTTGCAGGGGCCATCAAGCTCAACTGATATAACATGCTACACAAACATTGTTCCACATTCTACTTTGACAAGTGGAAACTGTGATCTTAAAAGCTTGCAAGCAGCCATCTACATGCAATGATGGGTCTCTCCTCAGCCAGAGCAAATAAGAATGAAGAAAACCAAAGACCGAAGGAAAGAAAAAAAACCCTCACTGCTGACAATTCAATGCAACTCATAGCAACCCCTCTTTGGGTTTCTGAGGCGTTATCTCTATGGAAGTAGATTGCCCAATCTTCCTTCTGAGAAGTGGCTGGTAGCTTTGAACCACCAGCCTTCTGGTTAGCACTCAAAATGCTTTAGGCACTATACCAACAGAGCTCCTGAAGAAAACCAAAGACGATGGAAACAATTAGTCCAAGCAACTGGTACACCATGCAATCCTCAGTCTATATGACTATGAGACCAGAAGAATTAGAATGGTGCATGGTAGAAGATCCTGGATAGTGTGGGAGATCAATGTGAAACAATACTCAAAATCACAGAAAAAGAAAGGGACCAGGTTTGCTGGTTGATAAAACCTGGTGGAACTCCTGAGACTAAGGCCCCTAGCTGCCCTTCAGGTCTGGAATTAAACCCATTCTTGTGGCTTCCAGCCAAATAAAAGATAGGCATATGAGCTTAACATTTACATAAGGTAGATACTCCTTGGAGAGAAAAGTCCTGGGAAAATAGAAGGGCTGAATATGCACAGGGAGACAGCTGGGGAGGCAGGAGTACAAGGGAGAGAACGACACAGGGAAGAGGTGGCTATGGGAAGGAAGTAGGAGGAGAGCGGCTACACTGTGGGAGATTACAGTCAATGTCATGAGCAAAGTGTATGTGAACTGCTATATGGAAGATGAATTTGCTCTGTAAACTTTTACCCAAATCACAATTTTTTTAAAAAAAGGAATACAGTCAAAAAGACAACAAAAATCAAGTAAGCTGATTTCCTTCATTCTCTTATAAGAGAACTATACTACTCAACATCACAGGCAACACTTGGTCAGGATAAACCAAACCCTTGATTTGAGTCAATTCCAACTCACAGCAGCCCTACAGAACAGGGTAGAACTTCCCTATTGGGTTTCTAAGGCTGTAATCTTTACAGAAGCAGACTGCAACATCTTTATCCCACAGAGTGACAGCTGGGTTCAAACTGCTAACCTTGAAGTTAGCAGCCAAGTGCTTAACCACCATGCCATCAGGGCTCATAAAACCAAACCCAGAGCCACTGAGTTGATTCCAACTCATAACGACACCCACTGGGTTTCCAAGACTGTAAATCTTTATGGAAGTAGATTGCCTCATCTTCCTCCCACAGTGCAGCTGGTGGGTTTGAACTGCTGACCTTCCTATTAGCAGCCAAATGCCTTATCCACTATGCCACCAGAGCACATTTATGGTCAGGATAGACAAACGCAAAGCCATCTGGGGCCAACAGGTTAGCAAGGCATAGAAACAGAAAACAGGGAAAGTCACTGAGGCAAAAGCAATCACCAAACACACACTTTGAAATTCAAACATCCAGTCCCACTGGATAAGTCTATCCCAGAAACCTCAGGTTACCCTAGCCTCCTGCTGTTAAACATCCAGTTCATCTAACATCTTTGTGCTGATTCCATTCTATTCTCACCAAGAAATCTTATGACTCTCATCTGTTTCCATAAAGATTACTATCTAGTAAACCCTATGTGGCAGTCCTACTGTGTCTTATAGAGACATTATGAGTCAGAATTAACTCAGTGGCACATAACAACAAATGACTAATAAACTGGCAACCTGCTAGCGTCTTCTACAGTGTTGGGTACCTTGCAGTGAGCACGAAAGTTCACCTCTCCTTGGACCTTACGGAGAGCAAGTGACTTCAGTCAATTAAATCCAATAGGGCTTCTTTTTAACAGCCTACCTGATACAAACTACTTCTAGATTCATTTTCTTGACATTTCCATAGAGTACACAGCTATTGGTCTAGAAATGCAGGTGAGAGAAAGGTAAACAGAGAAAGTTAAAGAAGGTCCTTCCTAGAGGGTACTATTAATAGTTCTACCATGTAAAGGGGGGAGGACCCTCAAAATAATATTAGTAAAAAACTAAATTCATTTTTTCAAAAGTAAATTTTTTAGAACTTACAAAGATAGGCTGGGGAACATACTTTTCTTCAAAGAGTTTCTGGAGTGCAAACAAGGCTGCCTGTCAGGAAAAAAGGAAAAACATCTTTATTTCTAAGAGATTGCATTCAAGGTCAGTTTAACTGCTTAATCAGAATGTTCTCTTTTCCAAGTGAGAACTCTTCAGATAAGACACACATAAAAGCTTTCAGTGAAGGAGAAACATGTCTTCTCTAGAATGCACAATCCCAACAGCTCTTTCTCAAGTATAACAGTGTATGAAAACAAAACAGATACTGACTGAAAGTTCATCTATGAACTACTATTTCCTCCTTGGAAAAACTGAAGAGCTATTCTTTCTTCAGGAGCTCTGGTAACTTAGTGCCTAAGGCACTTGACTGCTAACCAGAAGGCTGGTGGCTCAAACCCACCAGCCACTCCTCAGAAGGAAGATGGGGCAATCTACTTCCGAAGTGATACTGCCTTCGCTATGAGTCAGGTCCCGACTCAACAGCACATAACAACAACATTCTTTCTTCTCTCAATTAAAACAGTAGGAATGTCCATGCCTTCCGCATCCATATACATAGATAGAACGTATGAGAACCAACAATATTATGTCAATGGAAAAGAGAATATGAGCTCAGATTGGGTTGTACAGGTACGAATCCCATGTTAGTCTGGGGTGGTCACCCATGTTTTATTAAATTCTAGGTAACACATCTTCTCTTCCTTTTCATTGTTTTACTTCTTCATTCTAAGATGTACACAGTGATACAACTAATTTTCTGAAATCAGAATGCAACAACCTATAATTAATGTGTAATTATTATAATCATTGTAAGGGTGGATTTTTTTTCTTGGAAAGCTACTAAATCATCAGTTTCAGAATTTATGTTTTTATAGTGGGACAAATTGATTCTAAAATGTCACGGAAAATAATCAGGTAAGAATAACCAGGAGGGACTGCTTAGCAGAATAAGATAGCAAAATAGGCAGACAAACTACACAGACCCCCTTCAACAAAGAAAAGAGAAACCAACTGACACAGATAGAGAAGATAAGCCTAGAGTCCTGAGCTTTGAGATGAAGTATACAGAAATGGATTAAACACCAATTAGTAGAAGAATGAAATGAAATGAATGAAAACAATGAATAAGGAGAAAAATGGAGCTATAGACTGTCAGCTATCCTGATGGGACAGAGAGCCTGAATACTTCCAAGTGGTGTTAGGACCTAGAACTAACCTAAAAATCAGCCATATTCCCAAAGGGGTGCATGGACGACTGAGCTGGTGGCTGATGACTAAAAAGGGAAACAGCAAAGAAGGAAACAAATTGAGCTGTGGACTTCTGTCTGTCTGCAGGGCGCAGCCAATCTGAATGTCTACAAGTGGTGGTCATTTTGGATATTTAAACCGACAGCATTCTCATTCAGATTCCAGGGACCTGAGAATAGGCTCCACTTGCCAAGGGCAGCATGGACATATGGGCGGTTGACAACTAGAAAGAAGACAGGTGGTGAGTACATAAGTGTTGCCAACTAGCAAATAGAGCACAGTACCCTGCTTATTCACATACATCCAAGGAAAACAAAAATCTTGGGTGAATCACTCTAATATACAAAACACCACAATGTCACAGAGACAACAGACCATCAGAGTCCACACAATGTAGCAAGATAAAGCAGGAGAAACAAGGGTCCAGGATACAGATGCAGAACACATCCCAGAGTAATAAGCAGCATTGGAACTCCCTGAAAAGGAATTCAAAATAATTATATTTAGGTACCTTCAACAGATTCACAGACAGATCAAGGAAAACACTGACAAAATTGAAGAAAACACAGACAAAACCAAAGAACAATTTCAGAAGACAATATAAGAACAAAATCACAAAACAAAGGAAAAATTAGAAATGATACAAAATCTACAGATAGAAATCCAGAAGATTAATACTGAATTTTCAGAAACAAATAATACATTGACTGGGCAAAGGAGTAGAATTGAAAAAATGGAAGACAGAGTAAGTGAGATTGAAGAAAAATACCTCAATACTTCTTTGGAAAGGGATCAATCAGAAAAAAGACCAAAACAAAATGAAGAAAGCCTCAGGTTCATGTGGGAAACCATCAAAAGGACAAACCAACGTACACCTGGAATTCCTGAACAGAAAGAAAGAGAAAAAAACCACAGAGAAATTGTTGAAGATTTGATGGAAGACAATTTCCTTGATGATGAAAGACAAGAATATATCCATTCAAGAAGTCTAACAAACCGGTGATTTCTCTGGCTCCTCTCAGGGACCTATGAACCTCGCCTGGGCCCCTCTCGGGGACCCATAAACCTCTCCCGGGAGCATAGACTAAAAACTTCTTTTTAACCCCACTTTTGTGCGTCCTCTTCTCCTTATTGCGACCTTACATCTGGTGCCTTGGCCAGAAAGGGGAAGTGTGGTGCAAGTAATCTCTGCTGGAACAGAGTGCTGCACCCCACCCTTCTCCCTTTCTTCCTCCTTTTCATGGACCAGGAACCTCCAGCCGTCATCATCCAACACAGGCAAGTTTCCCATTTTGGCTAATTTCCCAACCCTGCGCACCTAGATCCCAAGTCCCAGTTCTACTTCCAGAGCCTCTGTCCACAAACCGTGAGCTCACGTCAGAGTCTCTTCCACTCCAAAGGATGAGGTACCCTGGGGACACCCTGGGTTCCCTGTCTTTCCATGGCACAGCCGTTCCAGACTGAAGACTACAGCAGAGACATCCACTGTTTTCTTCCAGTCTCTGGTTCCAAGATTCTGCCAAAAGCGGCTGGGATGCTGGTCCTTTGACAGAATCTTTCCTTCGGGACTTAAGGGATCATGGGTAACCAGAACTCCAAACCAGACTCAACTACTCCTCTGGGGTATCTCCTACTCAATCTCCGCGCCCTGGGGCTGGCTCAGGACTTACGTTCCAAACACCTAATTTTCTATTGCAATACTGTTTGGCCCCAATAATAATTCTCGATGGCCTGAGCAAGGAACTTTCGATTTTAACATCCTCACTGATCCTGATCATTTCTGTCACCTCATAGGCAAATGGCCGGAGGTTCCCTACATCCAAACTTTGTTTTACCTGTGCTCCCGTCTCTCTCTCTCTGCTTTACTTGCAATGCCACCCAAATTCTCCTAACTCACTAAACTCCTATTCAAACCTCCTCACACCCCCTCTAAAGACTCCTCAACCCCTCTTTCCCTAGCCTAAAATCCTTGGGGTTAGAGTTCCCTTCAGCCTCTTCGGGGGTTCGAGTCCCCCTTGGCCGGGTTACGTAGGGTAGAGGGTTCGAGTTCCTCTAGCAGCTCTAGTAGAGAGTTCACATTCAGTTTTGTTGGGGTTGGTGTCTGTCTGTGTGACTGTTTAGTGTGAATTATATATGTGAAGTTCCAAGACGAAAAGTTGCAGAATTTGAAAGGGCCCGAAGTTGCATTCCATGTGAGGTTGGAATGGCCTAATGGTGTGGCTTAGCCCTCCGCTCCGGGGTTTATATGGAGACACCTTAGCCAAAGACCCACTGAAACCTTCGTAAGAAGGGCGGGCAACCAGGCATCAGAAAGGTCCTCGGGACTTGTCTTTTGTGTGCGCCACTGTCACTATGGGAGGTACCCCCAGTAAATGTACTGTGTTAGAATACATGATCAAAAATTTTCCAAAGGGATTATGGTATTAGCCTCAGTCCATCTAGGTTAAGAATCTTTTATGAAACCCATCCACCAGAACACCCGACTTCCTCTTTTTCTGACCCACCTGAATCTCTTTCATCCCCACCTCACAGACCACCCCCTTATTAAGGACAGACACTTTCATCTCCACCTTCTGTTAACCCCACTGCACCCTCTCCGTCACCCCCACCTTCGTCTTCATTAACATCTTTGGACACCACTTCCGCAGAGTCCTTTTTTACCCTTCCCAGTGAGCAGCCACACCTGTTCTCAACAGCCCCTTCTCTGTCCCTTACGTGAAGTGGCTGACTTTGAAGGTGTTGTCCGTGTCCATATTCCTTTCTCCTTCACCAACTTATCTCAGACTGAAAAACGTCTGGTTCCCTTTCTCACAATCCCACCACCTACATTAAGGAATTTCGTTACCTCTCTCAAGCCTATGACTTAACTTGGCATGACATTTATGTCATTCTCTCTTCCACTTTAAATTCTGACAAAAGGGAACGTGTTCTTGGGGCTGCTCGGGAACATGCCAATCAAACTCACTTAACTGACTCTACCATGCCAGTGGGTCCAGAAGCCGGTACCAACTAAATACCCAATCTGGGCACCCTGATCACACCCATAGAGACAACATGCTCCAGTGCCTTCTAGCAGGCCTACAGGCTGTCTCACATAAAGCTGTTAACTTCGATAAACTGCGGGAGATTACTCAATTCCCTAATGAAAACCCAACAACTTTTCTTAATCACCTCAATGAGGCCCTTACACAATATACTCGCTTAGACCCAACCTCGGCAGCAGAAGCTACTGTTTTAGCTACTCACTTTATCACGCAATTTGCTCCTGATATTAGAAGGAAACTGAAAAAGGCAGAGGACGCCCCCGAGACTCCCATCCGAGACCTGGTGAATATGGTTTTTAAAGTCTTTAATACTGGGAGGAATAGGCTGAGGCAGATTGGGAATCCCGCACTCACCAGAAGGCCAATTTGCAAGCCCAAGCCTTAGTGGCAGCCCTGAGGCCGGCACCTACTTGACCAGCTAGAAAACCTACCAACTGGATCCTGCTTCAGATGCGGTAAGGAAGGCCACTGGGCCAAACACTGCCCGCACCCATGACAACGTTCCAGACTTTATCCGGCGAGCGGTGAAATGGGACATTGGAAAAGTGACTGTCCCTCCGTGCCAAGACACGGGGGGCCAACTCCTCCAATCCCTGACCCGCCGTTGACTGTCCTGGGTCTGGCAGCTGAAAACTGAAGGAGACCTGACTCGTCAACTCCAATCACTCTCGCTGAGCCCAGGGTAGCACTCAAAGTAGCAGTTAAGTTGACATCCTTCTTGGTCAATACGGGAGCTACCTATTCTGTTTCACCTTCCTT